TTGGTTGACTTTGAAATTTCAAGGGTCCATGAGCCTTTATAGCCGAAATTTCAAATTTAACCAATTCTAAGCATGTTTAGGCTCATTTTAAAACTCCAAACATGAGGAATCTAAAAATTTATAAATATTTTTAGTGACGTCCGTTTTTAAAGAGATATGCGCCTTTAAAGTTGATAGGGTTCAACAGTAAAACTACCGTAACTCGGTTGCTTTTGGTGCAAGCTCAAATATTTTTAATTTTTTAAAATTCGTCTCATGTTTTGCTTTAAAATGAGCCTAAACATGGCTAGATTAGGTGGAATTCGATTTTCCGAGGGTCCATGCGCCTTTAAAGTGCAAATTTCGAAATGGGCGGAGCCTAGTCGTGTTTTGGCTCATTTTGAAGCTCTCGTCAAGCCAAATTCAATAATTAAGTTCAAAATTCAAAAAACTAGATTTCCAGAAGACAAAATTCCAAAAAATAAGTATTTTAAAAAATTCAGATGACGTGGAAAAAGGAGAATTCAGGTGGTCGGTCTTGTGTATGACCCAAACAATAACACTAAACATCATCGAACACCGTCCCCTCGCTGTCAAAAAGTGAGAGAGTATAGAAAATGAAGAGACGCAGAGAAGAAGAAGAGAGAAAAAGATGAATCGAATGGGTGAAAGTGAATGGCCTTGGCCTCTGGAATCGGGAAAAGAAGAAGAAGAAGAGGAAGAATGCGGTAGTGAATAAGAAGAAGAAGAAGAAGATGTGATAAGAATAGAAATTGAGAAATTGCAAAAAATTAGGAAAAAATGCTGTTCAAAGGGCGCTGGAACTGATTTTATACCTCCGAAAAGTAGAAAACCCATTATAACTTTTCTAGTTTCACAACAAATTTTTTTTTAGTTTCACAACAAAGAAAGCTACATTTTCGAATTTGCCACGTCAAAGCTTCAAAATGAGTATAAACACGACTAGGTTCCGCCCACTTTGGTGAGATACTCCGCCCACTTTTGTCAGTGTACCTCGCTTCTCTGCACTCTAGCCTTTTTCAAACTACCGTAACTTCATCGGTTTCGGTCAAATTTTATTGAAAAATATAGCAATCAATTTGGCTGATTTAGAGCTTCGAAATGAGCCTAAGCACAACTAGGCTCCGCCCACTTTGGGATTTGAGACGCGCAGTGTGTCTCGCTTCTCTGCACTCTAGCCTTTTCAAACTACCCTAACTTACTTAGTTTTTGTCCGATTTCATTACAAATTATAGCGCACGATTTAGCTCATTGAGAGCTTCAAAATGAGTACAAACACGACTAAGCTCCGCCCATTTTGATTTTTCGACTTTAAAGGCGCATGGACCCCAGAAACTTCAAAAACAAGCAAAAATAGCCGTGTTTAGGCTCATTTTGAAGCTCTTAACACGACAAACTTAAAAATCATCTGTAACAAAAACTTGGGAAATATACTTGCGAAAAAAAATGGGAAAAACTGCGATTCTGGAAGTTTCAGGCAGAATTTTTTCCAGAAAAAAAAAGAAATTCTTCATAACTTTGCTGATTTTTGTTCAAACTTGATACAAACGATATTTTTAAATTTGCCACGAGAGGAGCTTCAAAATGAGTATAATTATAACTAGGCTCCGCCCACTTTTGTCTGTGTACCTCGCTTCTCTGCACTCTAGCCTTTTCAAACTACCGTAACTTGCTTAGTTTTTATCCAATTAGGATAAAAATTTAAGCAATCAATTAGGCTAGTTATTCGCTTCAAAATGAGCTTAAACATGACTAGGCTCCGCCCATTTCAATTTTTCGAATTTAAAGGCGCATGGACCCCAGAAACTTCAAAAGCAAGCAAACTTAGCCGTGTTTAGGCTCATTTCAAAGCGCATAACACGAAAAATTCAAAAATGGCAAATTGAAAACAAAAAAATTCAAAAAAGGCAAAATTTTAACAGCTTAAAGTAACTTTTTGGACCAAAAACAACAAAAACAATCCAAAAAAAAAACCCCAATTCTAGTGAAAAAGAGAAGGTCTTGTAAAGAAGACGATGTTGACATATATATCCCCTATTCCAAAATGTGTGTTTTTGCTATCCACATAAAATTTTTCACGGAGAAAAAGTGAAAGTGGATGGCACTAGGAAGAGTGGTAATAGACCGGAAAAAAGGACAAAAGTATTGACAGAAGAAGATTACCAAAACTTAAAGGCGCATATCTTGCTGAAAATGACTGCTAATTGAAAATAAAGTTTGTCACTGAATTTGTGATGTTTAGAGCTTCAAAATGAGCCTAAACATGCCTAGATTTGGTTAAATTTGAAATTTTGGGGGTCCATGCGCCTTTAAATTCGAAAAATCAAAATGGGCGGAGCCTAGTCGTGTTTAGGCTCATTTTGAAGCTCTAAACAAGCTAAATTCAAAAACATTAAAATACTCTCGAAGTTCGAAAATATAAAGAGAGTTATGGCCAAAATTGTAAACCTTTCAAAAACTTGAAAAATCAATTTTGTCCCATAACTTTCTTAATTTTGATTTTTTTTTTGAACTAAAACTTATACTTGGAGATTTGACACGCATAGAGCTTCAAAATGAGCCTAAACTCGACTGGAATCCTTCAATTTTGAGTTTTGAGGACAGAGACGCAGTGTGTCTCGCTTCTCTGCACTCTTACCTTTATTTTCTTAAAAGTACCGTAACTTTGTTGGTTTTATATCAATTTTGATGAAAATGATACCAATCGATTTGGCTAATTAAGAGCTTCAAAATGAGCCTAAACACAACTAGGATTGGTTGATTTTGAATTTTCGACTTTAAAGGCGCATGGACCCCCGAAATTTTAAATTGCACCGATTCTAGCCGTGTTTGTACTCATTTTGAAGCTCTAAACGAGACAAACTCAAATTTCTGATAAACATTTTCAAAATTTCAGTTTTTCTAAAGTTATGGTCCTTGAAAAAACACATTTTGCTAGAATGAAAGGAGGAAAAAATTCGTGTCAGCTGTTCCTCGGAATTTTTATACAAGAAAATTTTTCATGAACAACTTGAAAACCTACTACTATCCAGTCCTATAGTATCCCTCTTATCTTTTTTTTTCAACTGATAAGAGAGATAGAGAGCATTCCGGTTGAACCTTACGGAGAGAGAGCACTTGGCAGGGGAAAAAACGGAGGATGAGCAATCTTACTGTGTGAAGTGGGATTTTGCATTGATTGTTGGTCAATTGATATATATTGAGTGGTTTTTCAGCTTCGGGGGTGGTGATAACAAATTTAGGGGCAAAGATATAGTGGAGTTGTGAAAAATTCCCAAAATTCTCAAAGTTTTCAGACCCATATATTTTTTATTTTTTGAATTTGCAAGTTTAAACATGTATTTTTGAATTTATTGTGTTTTTAGCTTCAAAATGAGCCTACACACGACCAGTTTTGCTCGATTTTGAATTTTGACCAGTGCGCTGCGGTCGCGTCGCGGTTTTTAGGTAAACATTCAAAAATAATGTAGACTAGTCGTGTTCGGGCTCATTTTGAAGCTAAAAACATGAGAAACTCAAATATGTAACTTGCGACAAGGCATACAGCAAACATTCAATCAAAAAACGACATTTTTCGAAATTCGAAAATTTTTGAAAATTTTTTCTTTTTACCCTAACTTTGTTATTTTCATTGATATTTTGTTTAAAATTGAATATTTGGATTTATCTCGTTTTTAGCTTTAAAATGAGCCTAAACACAACCCGTTTAGCCCAATTTTGAATTTTGACCCACCAACCGCTCCGCGACCGCAGCGCACTGGTGAAAAATTTAAAACTAAGCTATCCTAGTCGTGTTTAGGCTCATTTTGAAGCTTAAAACAAAGCAAATTCAAAAATGTAGTCTATTTGAAGTTTACACAACTAATTCGATAGAATTTTTTTGAAAAGGTAGAAAAAATGTTTTCGTTATTTGAAAATTTTTCCCTCAACATTGTTATTTTGATCGATATTTTTATTTAACTTGAATATTTGCATTTATTGCATTTTTAGCTTCAAAATGAGCTCAAACACGACTCGTCTAGCTTAATTTTGAATTTTGGCCAGTGCGTTGCGCTCGCGTTGCGGTTGGCAGGTCAAAATTCAAGATTGAGCTAGACTAGTCGTGTTTGGGCTCATTTTGAAGCAAAAAACATGAGAAATACAGAATTTCAAGTTTCATCGAGTTTAGTTCACAGATTATATCAGAAAAGGCGAGAGGAATTTACCAGGAAATTGAAAAATCACGATTTTCAGGCATGTAAATCGAAAGTTTGTATGAATTTCGAAATAGAACTTATATATTTGCATTTTTTGCATTTTTAGCTTCAAAATGAACCTAAACACGACTAGTCTAGCTCTATTTTGAATTTTGACCAGTGCGTTGCGGTCGCGTTGCGGTTGTTAGGTCAAAATTCAAAATTAAGCTAGACTAGTCGTGTTGGGGCTCATTTTTAAGCTAAAAACAAGATAAATCTGAACATACAGTTTTCAGCTTGTTAAATCAGGTTTCAACAAAGTTATAAGGCTTACAAATGGCAAAAAAATGGGGGAAAATAGCAAAAACTGCGCTGAACAAAAATGACAAGAGTTTTCGCGTAGTTGATATCATATCAAATGGAAAAAAGAGAGAAATTTGGGTCATCTGGTCATCCGTGTCAATTATCTATGTCCTAATCGAAACCGAAAAAGAAACTTGATAACAGATAAAAAAAAATTTTTTTTCAAAAAAATCAGTTTTCTAGACTAAAATTGTTTAAAAATCTGGAATTTTCAGGTTTTACAACTTCAAATATGATGCTTTATTAGGAAAATATGAATTTTAGAGGAATAAAAGAGTGAAAAAGAGGGACAAATGACAAATATCAAGTGGCCTGGAGGGGATATACGATAGTTATAAATATATATGCCGAAAAGGTGTCAAAAGAGAGAGAGAGAGAGAGAGGGAGAGAGGCGCAGAGAGACAGACAGACAAACAGAAAAGTTTCTTCTTTTCCGAAAGAGATGGGGATAATTGTCCCGGCTTACGACGATGCGACGGCCGCCAATTCAGCCATGGATGGGATTTGGGTTCCGTTGATGAACAATGTGTGGATCACGCCGGTTCTGCAAAAAACAAAAAAACAATTTTTTCAGAAATGTTTTTTTTTGGAAATTTCCAAAAATTTATTCGAAAATCCTATTTTGAGACTTGCATTTTTGAATTTGTCTTGTTTAGAGCTTCAAAATGAGCCTAAACACGACTAGTCTAGCTCAATTTTGAATTTTGGCCTACCAACCGCGACGCGACCGCAACGCATTGGTCAAAATTAAAAATTGAGGAAAACTAGTCGTGTTTAGGCTTATTTTGGAGCTCTAAACACAACGAATTTAAAAATAAAAACTTCTTTCAAAAAAAAGGGAAAGTAAGAGAGTTATGAGCGAATTTTTAAGTTTTTTTTTGGATTTTCTGGTGATATCAATTTGGACATAAGACTGTTATGCTTCGGGAGTTTCGAATAAAAACACGATTTCTGAATTATCCTTTTTGAAAACTTCAAAATAAGCCTAAACACGACTAGTCTAGCTTCATTTTGAATTTTTGACCTACCAACCGCGACGCGACCGCAACGCACTGGTCAACATTCAAAATTGAGCTAGACTAGTCGTGTTTAGGCTTATTTTGAAGCTCTCAACGTGACAAATTCAAAACTATAAGTTTCAAAATAGGTATTTTGATGTTTGGTCCATCGTTTGACCCTTTTTAGTGCCATTATCTAGCTCTAGGCAAAAAAAAACTTCCCCTAAACACAAGATTCGTCATTTTCAGAGTTTCAAAGTTTTCCATAAACTTTCAGAATTCTCAGAAAATTTGAAAAATGTCAAAAATTTTGTTTTTTGACATTTTGCGATAATATCAACTAATTATCATCTAGCTGAGAGCTAGAAAATTGGGGTTTTTGGGAATGAGGATTACTGTAGTTTGAGATTTTGGGGTTACTGTAGCTCAAAAGCTTGGGGTTAGTGGGGGACACTGTAGCTCGAAAAATTAGCGTGACTGTAGTTTTTGGATTACTGTAGAGCTCACTTTTTGTTTCCACTACTCCGTGCCTCGATACGGCACGGAGTCTTGCCCAACTCGAAATGGGTTACAGTACCGTTGTCAACGAATTCGCCCTGAAAATTTGAAAAATTTTAAAATTTCAAAAAAAAAATTTTTTTAAAGAAAATTTTCAGTAATCCGGATTACTGTACCGCAGTGTTGATATTGCACCCATTGGCCCAGATCTCCATGGTTTCCTTGTCTGAAAATTGAGGGTTACTGTAATTTCTGAAATTTCAAAAAAAAATTTACAGTACCCAAAACCACTCTCCAGTCGTTGCCAGCAATAGTGGTCTCCCAGCTGTGCAATTTCTTGTTTTGCTCCTCTTTGAACTTGTTGAACGTTTTTCCGTTGACATCCAACGAGTACTCATAGGCAAACGTCCCAAGAGCCTCAACGTTGATGTTGCACTTCATGTCGCCAAGCTTAAACGGTTCTTTTCCGACCAATTTGAACATCCAGTCGCGGCGAAGGATTTCCTGGAAAATTTGAGAACCTCATAACTTACGAATCGCTTTGAATTTCGACTCCAAACATTTATTTTTAAATTTATCGCGTTTTTAGCTTCAAAACGAGCCCAAACACGACTAGTCTAGCTTGATTTTAAATTTTGACCTGCGCGTTGCGTCCGCGTCGCGGTTGGTAGGTCAAAACTCAAAATTGAGCTAGACTTGTCGTGCTTTAGCTCATTTTGAAGCTCTAAACGTGCTTATTTTAGAAATATGAATTTGTTCTCGAAATTTTGGAAAAATTTCAAGTTTTCAAGAAAAATCGAAATTTTTCAATTTTTCCAAAAGTTCGATTTTTGATCACAACTGGAGTTGTTCTCAAAAAAATTGAAAAAAGTTTTTCTAATCGAATTTATCTGGTTGAGAGCTTTAAATTGAGCCCAAACAGGACAAGTCTAGCTCGATTTTGAATTTCAACATGTGCGTTGCGGTCGCGTCGCGGTTGGAGGGTCAAAATTCAAAATTGAGCTAGACTAGTCGAGTTTATACTTATTTTGAAGCTCTAAACAAGACAAATTTGAAAATAAATGTTTGAACCTCTAACTTCGAGTTTTAGGAAAGTTACGAGCTTTGGAACATTTACAAAAAAAAAGTCAAAAATGGATATAGCACTTCTCTCCTAGAAAAAAGTTCCTCACCTTCCCATCGACACGAATGACACGTTTACCAGTGGTTGTTCCATGCTCGAATTCAATTCGATGAACTTTAGCGTGCAATGGAACGTTCCACGTGGCTACACAGTCACCATCCGGCATGACGGCGTCAGAAGAAGCGGCGGCGGTGGCGGAGGAAGACAGAGTGACACTGGAAATGCTGATATTCAGACTTGTCGTGTTTAGAACTTCAAAATGAGCCCAAACACGACAATTCTAGCGTAATTTTGAATTTCGACCAGTGCGTAGCGGTCGCGTAGCGGTTTTTAGGTCGAAATTCAAAATAAAGCTAGAGTAGTCGTGTTTAGGCTTATTTTAAAGCTCTAATCATAACAAATTTGGAAAAAGACGTTAATTTCAAAATTTTCGGAGCCTAAGATAGTTATGTGCCTAATTTAAAAATTCGGAAAAATTCAATTTTTTGGTTTTGCCCAGGACACTCTAATCTTTCGAAATTTCAGCATGAAACCTATATGGTCATACTTAGCTTGTTAAAAGTGTTAGAATGACTCTAAGCATGCATAGACTAGGTCAATTTTGAAATTTGAACAGTGCGTTGCGGTTGCGTCGCGGTTGGTAAGTCTAAATTTAAAATTGAGCTAGACTAGTCGTGTTTAGGTTTATTTTAAAGCTCAAAACTAAATTCAGCGCGTTTTGAGCTTTAAAAAGAGCCTAAACACGACTTACTTTTCCAAAAATTGACTTTCACAAAATTTTATGAACCATTATGCGCCTTTAAAATCGAAAAATCAAAAATGCCTAGTCGAGTTTATACTCATTTTGAAGCTCAAAACATGATAAATTTGTATATTTTAGTTTCAGCGTATCTCAGATCCTCTAAATTTGAAAAAAAATCCAAAAAAAAACGTTTTTTTGGAATTTTTGGGATTTTTTAAATTCTCAAAAAAGTACATGGGAACTTGTTCGATCTTAATTTTTCTATATTTTCATATTTTTCTATGTTCAGTTTAGCACATGAACAAGATAATGTGTATGTGTTACCGTGAGAAAATGGATTTTTGGCTCCAAAAATCCAAAAAAGAGGAAAATCGAAGAAGAAGAAGACGCGGGAAAACCGAAGCAGGTGGAGCAAGAAGGGGGTTTCCATGGAAACTGAGAAATAGTGTTGGTTAGAGAAAGAGAGAAATTCTCTCTCTCTCTCTCGCTTTTCTCGAAAAATGAAGAAAGCGTAAACAGCAATTAGAAGCCTAAAAATATACGATTTTATTTTTTCAAATGTATTTCGCTAATAATACGCCTATGAGGCGGAGCAGGTGTAAACACCTGCTCTTTTTGACGACCCATAACTCTTGGGATTTTCAGAATTATTGAATGAAATTTATATTTTCAAATTTGTCACGCTTAGAGCTTCAAAATGAGCCCAAACACGAGGGGGGCCCCCTCTCTAAAAAGGGGGGCCCCTCTCTAAAAATGGAAATTTCAAAACTGGGCAATCTTAGTCGTGTTTGAGCTCATTTTGAAGCTCTAAGCATGAAAAATTAAATGAATCTAGTTTTATTGCAAAATTTTGAGAAAAAAAATCGAGTAATGACCAAAAATGAATTTTTTGGAAGTTTTTGGAAATTTTTGGGATCGTCCATAAAACTGACGTTTCCCATAATTTTTTGATCAAAATCATATTTTTAAATTTGTCATGTTTAGAGCTTTATAATGAGCCTAAACACGACTAGTCTAGCTTAATTTTGAGTTTTCACCTGCCAACCGCGACGCGAACGCAACGCACTGGTCGAAAGTCAAAATTGAGCTAGACTAGTCGTGTTTGGATTCATTTTAAAGCTTAAAAAGCGATAAACCCAAAAATCTGAGTTTCAATGCAATTTTTCATAATGGGAGTTAGTTATGACCAAAAAGGAAATGTTTGAAAAATTGAAATTTTTGATTTTTCCCTGAAAACTTTCATGTTTAGAAATTGTTTTAAATGAACTTTATATATTTTATCTTGCCATGTTTAGAGCTTCAGAATGAGCCTAAACACGACTAGCTCAATTTTTTTCTAGCTCAATTTTGAATTTTGACCTATCAACCGCGACGCGACCGCAACGCACTGGTCAAAATTTGAAATTGAGCAATTCTAGTCGTGTTTAGGCTTATTTTAAAGCTCTCAACATGATAAGTTCGAAAATACAAGTTTCCTAAAAATTTGAAAAATAGGTATTTCGTTTTATTACAGTATACAACACACAAAAATCAATCACAGAGGCTCCGGAAAAGTGGGCGGAGCCTAACTTGCAAGTTATCTTTTTGCCCGCATAGTTTTTTGGCAAGAGAATAATGTTTGAACTAGAAAAAAAGTCAAAAATTATATCAATTTGTCAATTTTCTCTTCTTCTTTCCCGGCTCCACGACGTCTTCCGCCATATCTCTATGAGTTTTGATCCAAATCGCCCATTGTTTTGCCTTCTGAGGGACCTGAGGCTCCTCTATCAGTCGGGACACAATATCATCGATTTTTCCATCAGCTCCCACAAGGTTATCAATCGATAATCGAATTTCGTCAACAATTCGTTGGATCTCCCCGCCGCTACCGTACCTGGCACATACGTTTCATGGAACATAAATGTGACGTACACCTCGACTGCTTGGCGGGACAAATCAAGATCATCGTCGGAGTGGAACATGGACCTGGAAAATCGCATTTTTAATAATTCTAAAACTCAAAAATTTGAAGAAGGAAATTAAAAAAAAATGTTCACAAAAGTTTTTTTTTGAAATTGTCGAAATTCGAAATTTTGAAAAGTGAATACTAGTGTTGAGCTAGTTTTGCCCTTCAAAATGAGCCAAAAATCAATGAAATGCGTCGATTTTGAGCCAACTTATGCGCCTTTAAAGTTTGCAGGGCGAGAGAGGGGAGACGCAGAGGGGAAAGGAGACTCTAGCTTCTCTGCGTCTCTCATTTTGCACAATTGAGCATAACTCGCTTTAAAATAAAGCTAGAAGAGTTTTGAAAACACAGAAATATAGGAATTTTTCTGGGGATTCTTTTGAATAAACAATCATAAAAATCTGATTTTTCGAAAATCTCAAAAAAAATTTAAAAAACGAAAATTGAAAATTTTCTAGAATTTTTTGAAGATGTTTTCACAAAGTTGATTACAATACCTTAAATTTTGAAGAATGTGAAAACTGAGTTTATAAAAAACTTAAAATTTAAATATCGGAAATTTTTCAAAAAAATATAATTTTTCTAAAATTCCAAAATTTTCCTTTTCTTCGATTTTTTTTGTTAAATATTATATCAAAATTTTTGTCATCTGATTCCCTACATTTCTGCGTTTTCAAAACTCTTCTAGCTCTATTTTGAAGCGAGTTATGCTCAATTTCGCAAAAGGAGAGACGCAGAGAAGCTAGAGTTTCCTCTTCTCTCTGCGTCTCCTTAACTCTCGCCTTTCAAACTTTAAAGGCGCATAACTTGGCTCAAAGTCATCCAATTTTTTCGATTTTTGGCTCATTTTGAAAGACAAAACTAGCTTTATAATTTAAATAAAACTCACAACCAAGTTGAAAAAATCTTCTCGCTAAAAATGTACTCAAACGAGTGTCCCATATCAATGACCGTTGTGCGTAGCTCTCTCAGAATCGCCCTTCGTAATTCCGGCCTCCGAAATTCAAATTTCGCACGATTCGTTAAAACATGAATGAATGCATTGACTTCGCGCTGGTGATTGTAGATCAAACGAGTCAGGATTCCAGCCATTTCAATGGATTCCAATAATCGTATTTCGCTGGAATCACTTAAACTCCACCAATAATACTCCTCATAATACGATGGATGTTCACCATGAACATGAAGCATTATCGATTTTCGAAATCCTGGATGTGTCCGACACATCCTTCGCAGCCCATCGTCTCCCAATTTTTCGGCACTCCTCAAAATCAGCTTTAACTATCCTTTATCAATATTTCCCTTAAATTTCGCTATCAACCGTGCCGAATGGTTACAAATTTGCTCCATATGGTCCATCGAATTTAAAAGGATGTCCTCTAATTGAAGAAATTCCAAACAACGCGCGATCTCGTCATACATCAGGGTCTTGAGTAGCTCCCGTTTCTGCTCTGTGCTAAACATTTTTGAGCGATCCGATCTGTAATCTTTGTATTCGTTAAAATCCTCGTAAAATTCCCTACATCTCCCTTTTTCTTAAACTCTTCTAGCTCAATTTTGAGTCAAGTTATGCGCCTTTAAAGTTTGAAAGGCGAGAGATAAGGAGACGCAGAGAGAAGAGGAGACTCTAGCTTCTCTGCGTCTCTCATTTTGCGGAATCGCGCATAACTCGCTTTAAAATAGAGCTAGAGAAATTTTAAAAACACAGAAATGTAGGAAATTGGATGACAAAAATTTTGATATAAAATTTCACAAAAAATTTGAGATTTCCAAAACAAAATTCATTTGGAGGCATTTTTTCAAGTTCAATTTTTCAGATTTTTTTCAGACAGATTTTGAATTATAAACTTTTTCAAAACATTCAGAATTTAAGATCTTCTTCTATCAATCAAATTTGTCGGTACTTTTTTTTTCGAAAAAATTTCGTAATTTTCCAAATTTTCCCTTTTTCGAGATTTTTCGGATTTCTTTCCAAATTTCCAAATATGTTTTGTATTCAAAGGAATCCTCATGAAATTACCTACAACTTCCTGTTTTCAAAATTTGTCTAGCTCCATTTTAAGCCGAGTTATGCGCCTTTAAAGTTTGTACGGCGAGAGAGGGTAGACGCAGAGAGAAGAGGAGACTCTAGCTTCTCTGCGTCATTTGACAAAATTGAGCATAACTCGCTTTAAAATAGAGCCACGAGAGTTTTGAAAACACAGAAATGTAGAGAATTAGATGACAAAAATTTTGATATAATATTTGCCAGAACATTTTTGAAATTCCTGAACAAAAATGTTTCTTTTATATTCATGGGTTTTGTGTTCAAAACAACTCTCATAAAATTTCCTATATTTCTGTGTTTTCAAAACTCTTCTAGCTTTATTTTAAAGCGAGTTATGCTCAATTGTGCAAAATGAGAGACGCAGAGAAGCTAGAGTCTCCTCTTCTCTCTGCGTCTACCCTCTCTCGCCGTACAAACTTTAAAGGCGCATAACTTGGCTCAAAATCATCGCATTTTATTGATTTTGAGCTCATTTTAAAGGGGAGAACTAGTCAAATGATAATTTTAAAAAATAAATTGAATAAAAAATTATCTACTCACCTCAAAATTTCAAACAAGCAGTCGACAATTTGGCGTCGAGAATCCTCTAAAGGATTTTCTTTAGTGCCACTGTGTTTTCTGAGCAATCCGTCGATCATAATTGTAAAACACTTTTGAATTGTGTTTTTCGATTGTTCATCATAATTATTTCGGAGAAATTTAAGAATTATATTGAGCAACTCTGAGACTACATCGGCTTTTGAGAAACTCATATAATATTTCAGCGAATCCAACGATTTTTCCAGATTTACACAAGTCAGAAATACGATTTTTCGATCTTCGATTTTGTTGGGAGCAAATAACCGCTTGTTGTCTGAAATGTGTTGATTTTCAAACTTCCGGTTAGTCCTAGCTCGTTTTGCGTTTCAGAATCGTGTTCAACGGCGTTTTTTACCCCTGGGAGCATGTTTTCCGATCATTTTAAGAAATTGTCGTAAAATGTTGGGTTTCGTGGTACGCAAACACCAAAAACCTTCAAAATGATGCTAGTGACTCGAAAAAAGTTGCATCTCGACCAAAATTTTGCGCAGAATCCAAATTTTCAGTTACTTTTGTCAATTTCACATTCCTATCGGTCAAAAATTAGTAATTTTTTTGGGGTACGCAAACACCAAATTTCGATTTTTGAACTTCCGGTTTGTCGTAGCGAATTTTGCATTTTAGAATCGTTCTTAGCGTAATAGTTTACCCCTGGGTGCAAGTTTTTAGGAAATTCTGAGAAAATGTCGTAAAATATTGGGTTTTGGGGTACGCAAACACCGAAAACCTTCAAAATGATGCTAGAGACTCGAAAAAAGTTGCGTCGAGACCAACATTTTTTTTTGGGCCGAGCTTTTTCCGGAATTTCGGAGGCCCGGCCCGGCCCGGCCCGGCGGGCCCGTCATTTCACTAGTTTCGAAATTTTCAAAAAACACATAAGGGGGGACCCTTATGTGATGCGCTGAATCCAAATTTTTAGTAACCTTCTTTTTTAGTTACGCAAACAACAAATTGCGATTTTTGAACTTCCGGATAGTCCTAGCACATTTTGCACATCAGAAACGTGCTCCGCGTAGTTTATTACATCCGATAGCAAGTTTTCAGAGAGTTCTGAAAAATTGTCGTAAACTGTTGGGTTTTCGGGTACGCAAACACCGAAAACCTTCAAAGTGATGCTAGAGACTAGAAAAAAGTTGGCTCTAGACCTAAATTTTGCGCTGAATCCAAATGTTTAGTTATCTTTAACAATTTCCCATTTCTAACGGTCAAGAACTAGTGATATTTTGGGGTACGTAAACACCGAATTGCGATTTTTTGAACTTTAGGATAGTCCTAGCACATTTTGCACATCAGAATCGTGCTTAGCGTAATTGTTTACCTCTGGGAGCAAGTTTTTAAAGAATTCAGAGAAATTGTCGTAAAATGTTGGGTTTTGGGGTACGCAAACACCGGAGCTCTTCAAAATGGAGCTAGAGACTCGTAAACAATCGCATTTAGACCTAAATTTCGCGCTGAATTCAAATTTCGCTTCAACTTTGTCAAATTCTCATTTCTAAAACCAAAAAAACGAGAATGTCGTAGAATGTTGGGTTTTAGGGTACGCAAACACCAAAAACCTTCAAATTGATGCTAGAGTCTCGCGAAAAGTTGCGTCGTGACCCAAATTTTTTGCTGAATCCAAATTTGGAATCAATTTCACTCAAGAACTTACATAGAGATCCGATTGTGTGAAGTTTCGGATGTGTTTCCACAAAAGTGTTCAAGTCTTCTTGTTTCACCCAATCCCCGCATCTTGTGATATCCAAAACTTTTAATAATGGCAGACTTTCTTCAGGACATTTGAAACTCTTATCGCGCACCCCTCTGAATGAAGTTAATCTGAAAAAAAATTGTCTTTTTTTTTCAAAATTTTTAATGTTTACCTCAGTGCCGAGAGGTCCAAATATTCGAGATTTCTCAAATTGAACAAATCTTCGAAATTCAGACAATTGATGCTGTTCATGATGAGATTTTTCAAGTTTTGCAATTTTGAAATGCCATTTAATGTCGGTATTTCCATTCTTGAGATTTCCAGTGTAGTCAAAAATTTCAAAGAGCTGCAAATCGTCCGAAATTCATATTTCGCAATCGGAAAATCGTGAATCGATAGAGATTGAAGATTGGGGACGAGTTGACAGAGCTGAAATGAGCCAAAACTTTTCTATAGAATTGTTAAGCTAGTTTTGCCATTCAAAATGAGCCAAAAATCGATAAAATCCTACGATTTTAGGCCAAGTTATGCGCCTTTAAAGTTTGAAGAGCGAGAGAGAGGAGACGCAGAGGGGAAAGGAGACTCTAGCTTCTCTGCGTCTCTCATTTTGCACAATTGAGCATAACTCGCTTCAAAATAGAGCCACGAGAGTTTTGAAAACACAGAAACATAGGAAATATTATGAGAATTGTTTTGAACACAAAACTCTCAGAAAATACCAAAAAATTTTTTTTGGAGAATTTCAAAATTTCTGTCAAATGTTATATCAAAGTTTTTGTCATTCAATTTCCTACATTTCTGTGTTTTCAAAACTCTTCTAGCCCTATTTTGACCCGAGTTATGGTCGATTTCGCAAAATGAGAGACGCAGAGAAGCTAGAGTCTCCTTTCCCCTCTGCGTCTCCCCTCTCTCGCCCTGCAAACTTTAAAGGCGCATAACTCGGCTCAAAATGAAGCTAGAACAGTTTTAAAAAGATAGAGGTGTGGGAAATTTCATGGGGATTCTTTTTAATGCAAAAAGTACAAATCGAATTGCTCAAAAATTTGTACAAAAGACCAGAAACTGCAGCTGGACAAAACGGTGATGAAAAATTAGGTATTTTTGAGGATTTTGTATTCAAAAGAATCATCATAAAATTTCCTACAATTCCCTTTTTTCAAAACTTTTCTAGCCCTATTTTGAAGCGAGTTATGCTCAATTTCGCAAAATGAGAGACGCAGAGAAGCTAGAGTCTCTTTTCCCCTCTGCGTCTCCCCTCTCTCGCCCTGCAAACTTTAAAGGCGCATAACTCGGCTCAAAATAGAGCTAGAAGAGTTTTGAAAAAAGGGAATGGCAGGAAATTTTCTGAAGATTCTTTTGAATATAAAAATTTTTTAAAAATTAGAAAATGAAAATTGAAAATTTCCACATTTTTTGGAGAAGTTTTCCCTTTGATTACAATACCTTCAATTTTGAAGAATGTGAAAATTGAGTTTATAAAAAATTCAAAATTTAAATATCGGAAATTTTTAAATCTTAAAAAAAAAATTTTTTTCTAAAATTCCAAAATTTTCCTTTTTCTCGAAACTTTTTTGAATGTTATATCAAAATATTTGCCATTCATTTTCCTACATTTCTGCGTTTTCAAAACTCTTCTAGCTCCATTTCAAAGCGAGTTATGCTCAATTTCGCAAAATGAGAGACGCAGAGAAGCTAGAGTCTCCTCTTCCCTCTGCGTCTCCTCTCTCTCGCCCTGCAAACTTTAAAGGCGCATAACTCGGCTCAAAATGAAGCTAGAAGAGTTCTGAAAAAAAGGGAATTGTAGGAAATTTTTAGTATAAATATTCAGACAATTAGATTTCTAAAGTTTTGAACTTTTGAAAATATTTCTACCTGTTGTGCCCATCCTCGAACAAATCGATGCGTTGATGCCTCGATTTTCAGCGTTCTCAATTTTTGTCGAGTTTCTGGATTCAAACACTGCAAAAGTGCAGTTGGTAGATCGAATTTTGTTACGCCTGAAAGTTTTTAAATTTTTGAAAAAATTTTTTTTTCAAAAAATTCCAAAAGATTTTTTTCAAATTACCTCCAAATGGTGTAACCTCTTTTTTCAAATTTAATTCGAAATCCTCCAAATTCATCGAATGGGAAATTTTCAGTAAATCCGGTTTCAAGTCTCTTGAATTCAATATTAAGCGGGTTAGGTTGAAATTTTCAATCATTCGATCCGAATTTTCCGCAGAAAAATGGGCTGGAATTTGCTCGAAAAGTTCATTATTTTCCTCGTTTGTTAGTTTTCCGGCTGGAATTTGGATTTGAGCTGAAAAAATTTTTTCAAAAAAACAATTTTTTTCAAAAACTCACATTTTTGAAAAGCCTCTGCAGATTTCAAAATTGCCAATTCTTTCAATGATTTGAGTGTCACAATTTTGTCCATTCCCGAAATTCTGAAATTTGTATTTTGAAATTTTTTTTTTGAAAATTCGTCAAAATTCGATATAACTATCAAATCATTGCTCAGCTCGTCGAGAGCTTCAAAATAAGCTTAATCACGACTAGTTTTGGTTGATTTCAAAATTTGGCCAACGCGTTGCGGTCGCGTCGCGGCTTTGTAGATCAAAATTCAAAGTTGAGCAAATCTAGTCGTGTTTGGGCTCATTTTGAAGCCATTAACGTCGGAAATCCTAAATTCCTAATTTCGAAACTTGAAAATTCAAATATTGAAAGTTATGACCAGAAGAACTTTCAGAAAACCCCAATTGCAATAGAAATGATTTTCATAATTTGCAGAAAAAAAAGTTTAAAAAATGAAGAAAATGGAATTGTTTAATCTAAAATAATCTGAAAAAAATCAATAATTTCCACTAAAAATGGCTTGAAAATTTCATGAAAAAACACAAAAACTTTCAGACTGAAAATTTTTTTTTCAGACTGAAAAAGTTTTAGGGATGAAAATTTCAAAATTTTCTTTTTTTTTGAACAAAATAACAGAAGAAAAAGGAAGAAGAACTATAAAAAATGTATATGAAACGGCCGGAAAAAAGGGGAATCGAGAAAAAAAAATAATAGAGAGGGAGTAGAGACAACAAACGAGACGCAGACAGAAAAGAGAAAAAAAATTGGACGACGAAGAAACGGAGAAGTGTAAGCAAGGGTCATAAGAGTCCCTTTTCCCTTTTCCAGACATTTCTCCCGCTTCTCCGCGTCTCTATGCCTCTCTCTCTCTCTCTCTCTCTCTCTCTCTCTCTTTCTCTCTCTCTCTCCCTTATTATCTTTTTCTGCAATTCTAACTAACAAAAACAAAAAAAAAGAATAATCTGATTTTCATTTTTTACAGAAATTAGCCAGAAAAGTTCTAGATAGGCATCTGTTAGAAGGAGAAAATTATTCGGAAAGATTTAATTTCTTGGTTTCGTCCAAATATCGTTCACTTCTTGTAATTTTGAGATCGGTCATACATTTTCGATTTTCACATGTTTTGAGCTTCAAAATGAGCCCAAACACGACTAGTCTAGCTTAATTTTGAATGTTGACCTACCAACCGCGACGCGACCGCAACGCACTGGTCAAAACTCAAAGTTGTGCAATCCTAGTCGTGTTTGGGCTCATTTTGAAGCTCGGACAAGAGAAATTCAGCAAAATTGATATTTTTCAAACGTTTCTAAAAAAAAAAATAGGCTATGCCCAAAAATGAAAATTTCGGAAAAAAGTGAAACTTCTCGTTTTGCCCAGAAAACTTTCAAAATTCGATATTTCCAAATAAAACATACATTTTCGAATTTCTCATGTTTTGAGCTTCAAAATGAGCCTAAACACGCCTAGTCTAGCTCAATTTTGAATGTTGACCTACCAACCGCGACGCGACCGCAACGCACTGGTCGAAATTTGAAATTGAGCAATCCTAGTCGTGTTTTGGCTCATTTTGAAGCTAAAAACACGACACATCCAATGAAATTAGGTGGTACTGACCGAAATCAATGCGAAAAGGGAGATGAGTAGAATGATTTATTCAGGATAAAAAGCACAATTCAGAAATCGTAAAAAATTCATTTAGGGCAGTTGGCCTCCTGGATGCATACATTTTCATGTTTCACGAATCCCTTGGAACATTGACAGACATTTGGTTTGCACAATTTGATACAAGGAGGGTCCGGTTGAGCACAAATTGGCTCACAATGGGTTCCACACTCGAAAAACTCCTCATCCTCTCCACATTTCTTATCACAATCATTGATTCGAACACATTTCCCATTCGATTCATTACGGACGAATTGAGGCAGACATTGACATTTGTTTGGAATGCATACTTGAGGACATGGTTGGTTAGAATTAAGGCAGAAGTTGCCTGGTGCAGCTACCCTCCAACCCCTTCTAAAGGTTCCCTCTAACCACGCAACGACACTCCGCTATCCCGCTCGGCGCGCGCACAGTTTAAATTTAGTTTTTGAGTGATTGCGAGCTTGGATTTGGCTCGTGGTTGTTCTAGGGACTCTTTTAAGGATTTCAAGTGAGTTTGCTTGAATTCTAAGCTTTTATTTGTTGTTTCTTTCTAACTTGTTCATAATAAACCGATTTTGTTACATTTCTTGTTGATTTTCTTCTATTTTATCACAGGAACCTGATACCCCGGACATACCGCGGGCAATTCAGACATTGATATTTGTTTGGGATGCACACCTGAAACTTGTAGCTTCATTTTTAGAGCTTCAAAGTCAGCCTAAACATTACTAGATTTTGAAAAATGCCACTTTTGAGAGGGGGTCTCTTTGAAAAGGGGTCCAAAAAATTAAAATTTTGATCAAATCTACTCGTGTTTGAGCTCATTTCGAAGCTCTCACTGAGGTAAATTCAACATTTGAATTCAAAAATGCTTTGGAACGCATACCTGGGGACATGGTTGATTAGAAGCATCGGGATTTGAACAAGAGGGTTCACACGCAGACCCACAGGACTTGAAGATTTCATTTGGTCCACATTCAGATGGTGTAGCAGCGCAGAAGGCGAGGAGGGGTAGAAGGAGAGGAAGAAGAAGCTTCTGGAATACCATGATTGCTGATAAGGCTGATGAAACCCCCAGGGCTTTTATACTAATCTTATCATAAGATCTCTTGCTCATTACTAATGAAACTTAGGATTTTATGAAACATCTGATCAGGTGATAAGGTGGAAATGATAAGAAAAAAGGGAAAATGAGTAATTTTGAACTTATGATCTTACATGAACTCTGAGGAGGATCAGATGGCATACATGTGATCTTGTGATTTTCCAATAAGAATGAGCAAGAGATCCCATGATAGGATCAGTATAAAAGAATAAAGAGGTTAACATTGAAATTAATTCATTCCTCTTGTCTATAGCGCCATGGTAAGTGTTTATGGTTTTCTTTAGTTACCGTAAAACCTCTAATAGAACGACACCCGGATCGTCCACTTTGAGCCTATATATCTCATTTTCTGTGAAAGATATCAAAAAGTGGCTAACTGGTAAAATGTTGCTGATAACCTGATAAACATTTTACTAGTTAACCACTTTTTGATATCTTTCAAAAGAAGTAGGATATATAGGCTCAAAGTGGACGATCCGGGTGTCGTTCTATTAGAGGTTTTACGGTAGCTACAGTAATCTCCAATCTTTGAGCTAGATCATCAAGCTACAGTATTGTAAAAATAGAAGCCCACCCTATAAGCATACTCTAAGCTCAATTATCTCGGTTCCTTCAAATGATATCAAAAAGTTGTCAACTGATAAATTGTTTATCATAATATCAGCAACATTTTATCAGTAGATTAATTTTTGATATCTCTCATAGAAACCGAGATAAGTTGTCTTAAAGTGGGCGGTTCCCGGATGAGGTACGCTTCCGACCTCTTAACTTTGACCCAATTTACTTCATTTTCTGTGAAAGATACAGAAAAATAATCAACTAACAAAACGTTCATGATGACAACACAATTATTTTGTTAATTGATCACTTTTTGATATCATTCACGGAAAATGAGATAAATCAGCTCAAAGATAACGGATCACTCAAAAATCGGTTAACTTTGGTTCAGAATTAGGCATGAGCAATCTATATAAACTTAACATTTCTAATATGAATCTTGACTCAGAATTACATGTTCGGAATCAAGAGCAACTGAAAAAGCCAAAACTTATTCAAAATACGAATATTTGTCTTCGTTTCTGCTTGTTAGTAACAATTGGAACCAATTCGAAACATGCAATTGAACTCAATTATCTCGGTTACTGTAAGTGATATTAAAAATAGGTCAACTAGTAAAATAATGGTGATAATATGATACATAATTCACTAGTTGACAACCTCTTGATAACTCTATTGGTAACCGAGATAATTGAGCTTAAAGTGCAAGTGCAGGAGCGGCTTAATAATTAGACCAAACTGAACGTGGAAATGGAATCCAAAATTAATTTTTTTCAGAATTTTCTTCTTCTTCTTCTACCCCTCCTCGCCTTCTGCGCTGCTACACCATCTGAATGTGGACCAAATGAAATCTTCAAGTCCTGTGGATCTGCGTGTGAACCCTCTTGTTCCAATCCCAATGCTTCTAACCAACCATGTCCTCAAGTATGCATTCCAAACAAATGTCAATGTCTGCCTCAATTCGTCCGTAATGAATCGAATGGGAAATGTGTTCGAATCAATGATTGTGATAAGAAATGTGGAGAGGATGAGGAGTTTTTCGAGTGTGGAACCCATTGTGAGCCAATTTGTGCTCAACCGGACCCTCCTTGTATCAAATTGTGCAAACCAAATGTCTGTCAATGTTCCAAGGGGTTTGTGAGACATGAAAATGTATGCATCCGGGAGGCCAACTGCCCTAAATGAATTTCTTACGATTTCTGAATTGTGCTTTTTATCCTGAATAAATCATTCTACTCATCTCCCTTTTCGCATTGATTTCGGTCCGTAGCATCTAATTTCATTGGATGTGTCGTGTTTTTAGCTTCAAAATGAGCACAAACACGACCAGGATTGCTCAACTTTGAATTTTGACCAGTGCGTTGCGGTCGCGTCGCGGTTGCTAAGTCAACATTCAAAATTAAGCTAGACTAGTCGTGTTTGGGCTCATTTTGAAGCTCAAAACATGAGAAATTCGAAAATGTATGTTTTATTTGGAAATATCGAATTTTGATTTCTGAATTGTGGTTGATATCTTGAATAAATCATTTTACTCATATTGCTCTTTTTGTTTCAAACTTCACGAAAAGTAGATATATCGATTGCCCATCTTGTAGGCTTTAAAACGAGTATAAACACGACTAGGCCCCGGCCACTATAAAAAATTCGCACCCCCCATGCGCCTTTAAAGTCCAAAAAATCAAAGTGGGCGGAGCCTAGCCGTGTTTGGGCTCATTTTAAAGCTCTTTTTCTCTATCTTCATGATTTTCTGTTTATCTGTAAATCCGGATGTCCCCATAGACGAATTTATTCAAAAAACAGTAACATTTTTAAACCATGAAAGACTCTCCCAAAATCAATTGATTTTCCTGGGGTTTTTTGGGCACCGGGACCATCAGATTCACTCGAATCTGATTGCATGATAACACGTGGACATCAATGATGTGGACGGCTACAGTAATACTGTAGGCCAGGTGAAACATTAGGTCGTACTGGAAAAATTTTTTGGAAAAATGTTTTTCAAAATTTCCAAAAACTTACATAATCTCCGATAAACCTGAGCAATGTATAAGTGCTGATTACTGTAAAAACTACAGTAAACACTGAATATTCCTTCCAACGCTTGTAGCGAACATCGCATGCTGTGGAACCTTCCAGAAGAAAAATCAAAATCGATAACATGGAAAATGTGTCGGAGATGCAGAGAATAGGGAACCCGATCTGGAATTACTTTGCTTAAAAGTTGTAAATGACTGGAAATTTGAATTCAGCGCGTTGAGAGCTTCAAAATGAGTATAATCATGACTAGCCTAGCTGAAATTTGACTTCTGACCCATCACCCGCGACGCGACCGCAATGCAAGGTTAAAAATTCAAACTTGACCAAAACTCATCGTGTTTGGGCTCATTTTGAATCTCATTATTTTAAAAACCCAAATCTGTAATTTATATTAATCTGACTCAAAAATGAACAAGAAACTGTAGTTTTAATGTTGGTGCTGAAAATACACAGAAACTTGAAATTGCTTTATGCCGCGTTCAAAGTTGATTTCCAGGAAAAATTTCCTGGAAAAACGCTGCTTAGTTTCTGTTGAATTTTGTGAAAAAATTTGAGCAATCGATTTGACTTGTTATGAGCTTCAAAATGAACCTAAACATGACTAGATTTGATTAATTTTGAAATTTTTCGTTTTTCGCGGTGGGACCCAAAATTTTTCGAAAATTTCGGAATTTTCCAAATATAGTCATGATTATATTCATTTTGCAGCTCTTTACTCAAAAAATTCAAAAATATTAATTTCAGTGTATTTGTCTGAAAATGAACCAATTCACAAGGCTTTCAAGTTTCAGCACCAAAATTAAAGTTACTGTATCTCGGTTAATCCGGCAAATTAAAGGTGGGGGGACAGGAGATTTTTCGTAGTTTTTTTGTAGCTAGAGTATGCATTCTACCGTCACGGTGTACAACGCTTAATGTCACTCTGCGTACAGCTGTCGTCCTCGCCTTTATGTATGCAATCGGGCGTGCGCTTTCTCTTTGCCCGCGTAGCTCAGTCGGTAGCGGCGCCGCACCTTCAACACTCGCCTCGACAAGTTCAACTCCTCGAGGGGCATATTTAAATGGAATTTCGAGAACATTATTTTTTTCATGTCCCCCCCCCCCCACCTTTAATTAATAAAACTCGTTCAACTTCTCGTTTCGTTTATTTTCTAAAACACCGATTCTTAGAAATAATGATGTTCAAAAATGTCTAATTGTGATACAACTAATTTCTAGCTCCGTATCAAAATCACTCAACGAAAGATGGACATCGGTAAATGGAGTGATTGCATGCTATGGAAAAGAACCAAGAGAAGCTCGTAGATCAGATGAGTCCAAATCGTCTGATGTCTCCCGTTTAATACACTTTCAACTACTATTCTGTACATGGTTCTATCTGTTACTCGACAACCTGTTTTCAATTGTTTTTTCAATGTATTTTTCATTTCATAAGAATAAGCTCAAAGCTTTTATTAAATTGTGTAGAGAACAGAGAAAGAGTTAATCTTAGAATAGCCATACAGCATGCACCCGCACAGCAATCGCTGAAAAAAGTGATATCAAGGGAACTCGTATAGTAACAAACTTTGCACGAGATCCTCCTCCGTTTTGAACTACGACAGTTCTTCCTGGTTGTAGAACGCAGGGTTGAGTATAAGCAGGCTGACCGTAGACCGGAGCTCCGTTTGGCGAAGCGTGTACAACAGTTGGAGTATGGCATTAAAGGTGGGGAGACATGAGAAGAATAATGTTCTCGAAATTCCGCTCAAAGATGCCCCTCGAGGAGTTGAACTTGTCGAGGCGAGTGTTGACGGTGCGGCGCCGCTACCGACTGAGCCCCGCGGGCAAAGAGAAAGCGGACGCCCGATTGCATACATAAAGGCGAGGACGACAGGTGACGCAGAGTGACATTAAGCGTTGTACACCGTGAAGGTAGAATGCATACTCTAGCTACAAAAAAACTACGAAAAATCTCCTGTCCCCCCACCTTTAAAGTTATTGTACATTGCACTCATTTCACACCTCCACAGCTTCTGGAATTTCATTAAAACACTGACAATGTTTGTTGAAGCTTTTCAATTTTTCGAAGTTGTATCTCTTTTTTGCTTTGATTTTCAGCCTTTTTTCCTTTTTTCTAACTTTTCTCTTTTTGAACTCTTTCCTTTTTCGGATAACTGTTGTCACAACCGTGTGACGATGTCACCTACAAACCGAAAAAGAATAATTCATCAGAAATACAAGCTACTCATAAATGTCTTTGATCTCTTCCACATTTTCTTCATCGGAATCCATATTTTCTCGAAAAATTTCCAGCAAAACACAGTCAATTATGGCTGAAAAACGTTAAAAAACGTTGAAAAATTGCGTTAAAAAAAGCCCGTAAATCGTGCGAGGTCGGTGGTCTCGAAACGAACGAGACAAACTACGGTAACACTCGTTGCGACAGTAGCTGGAAAACCTGGAAAAAATTGGCAGCTTTGGGCAGCGTTTTTCCAGGAAATTTTTCCTGGAAATCAACATTGAACGCGGCATTAACTCTGCTTATTTTAATGCAAAACTGCTGATAATAATATTTTTGGATTTCTCAAAGAACGCGCTTCAAAATGAGTATAATCATGAATATGTTTTGAAGAGTTTCAAAATTTTGGCTTTTTTGGGTCCCACCATGGAAAATTTTAAAGTTGACCAAATCCAGTCGTGTTCATGCTCATCTTGAAGCTCATAACTTTGGAAACTTGAATTTAATATTTATTACATCATGACAAAAAAATTAACCGAGATACAGTAACTTTAATTTTGGTGCTGAAACTTGAAAGCCTTGTGACTTGGTTCATTTTCAGACAAATACACTGAAATTAATATTTTTGAATTTTTTGAGTAAAGAGCTGCAAAATGAATATAATCATGACTATATTTGGGAAATTCCGAAGTTTTCGAAAAATTTTGGGTCCCACCGCGAAAAACGAAAAATTTCAAAATTAATCAAATCTAGTCATGTTTAGGTTCATTTTGAAGCTCATAACAAGTCAAATCGATTGCTCAAATTTTTTCACAAAATTAAACAGAAACTAAGCAAGTTACGGTAGTTTTACGGAGGCTAGAGTGCAGCGAAACGAGACACACTGCGTCTTTAGCCTCAGTAGGCGGAGCCTAGTCGTGTTTGAGCTCATTTTAAAGCTCTTTTCCTGCTGAATTTAATTTTTCCCACTTTCCAACCCCCCGAACCTCACCTCAAGCTTTCCCTTCATATAAAACCATGCACATCTTTGGACCATGGCACAAAAGAGTAATCCGAAAATTCCAATTTTCAGATTTTTCTGGTACATTGACATGTGTTTGGGCGGTTTTTTCAGTATAAATTGTCTCCTGACAAATGATATTAGACAAAAAAGGACGAAAACGAGCAAAAATGAGTAGCCGAGATGTCCAAAATCGCAAATTTCGGGATTTTTTGAATTTTTCGGGTCTCGATGGAAATTGAAATTTGTGGGGGTGGTGTCGATTAGGAGTACAGTAAGAAATAGACAGAAGAATGTGAATAGTGGAGAGAAGAGAAGCATTATCTGAAAATTTATAAAAATTAAGAATGAGCAATGAGATTCAGAAGTTCAAAAACGGAAAAATCTAAAAATCCCAAAAATTTCAAAATTAACAAAAAAAACGTCGAGAATTCTCAAAATTTCAGAAAATCCAAAAAATTTGAAATTTTCGAAAATTTTGCACTGAAAAAATTTTGCAATTGAAAAAAAAAAATTTCAAGAAAATATTTGACAAATTTGCAGGCGAAATTTTTTTTAAAACAAAAATCCTCTCTAAAACCAATTTTATCGAACTTCCGTTTTTTGAGTCTAAAATATTTAAACTCACCGCGTCTAGAGCTTCAAAACGACTCCAAATAGAGCCCTGCTCCGCCCACTTTGAGGGTCAGAGACGCAGTGTGTCTCACTTCACTGCACACTAGACTTTTCAAACTACCGTAACTTTCTTAGTTTTTGCTCAATTTCTTTGAAAACGAGAGCATTCGATTTGCTTTGCTAAGAGCTTCAAAATAAACCCAAACACGACTAGTTTTGATCGATATTCAGATTTGACCAGTGCGTTCCGGTCGCGTCGCGGTTGGGAGGTCAAAATTCAAAATTGAGCAAACCTAGCCGTGTTTGGGCTCATTTTGAAGCTCAAAACATGAGAAGTACGAAAATATATGTTTAATTTAGAAATATCGAATTTGTAAAGTTTTCTGTGCAAAACAGGAAGTTTCACTTTCTTTCGAAATTTTAATTTTTCGGCACAACCAAATTTTCTCAAGAAATGTTCGAAAAATATTCATTTTGCAGAATTTCTCTTGTTTCGAGCTTCAAAATTAGTCTAAACACGACTAGGATTGCTCAACTTTGAATTTTGATCAGTTCGTTGCGGTCGCGTCGCGGTTGGTAGGTCAAAATTCAAAATTACGCTAGACTAGTCGTGTTTGGGCTCATTTTGAAGCTAAAAATGAGCTGAGTTTGAAAATATTTCATTCATATCGGAATGTCAGAGACGCAGTGTGTCTCGCTTCTCTGCACTCTAGTCTGCTTACAAACTATCTTAACTTTCTTAGTTTTTGCCAAATTCTTTGAAAACTAGAGCATTCGATTTGTTTTGCTAAGAGCTTCAAAATAAACCCAAACACAACTAGTTTTGATTGATTTTCAAATTTGACCAGTGCGTTGCGGTGGCGTCGCGGTTGGGAGGTCAAAATTCAAAATTGAGCAAACCTAGCCGTGTTTAGGCTCATTTTGAAGCTAAAAACAAGAAAAATGGAATGGGAATAAAAATAGCTACAGTAATACTCAGTTCAAAGGCTCAGGAATCATTTTTAATTAGGTCCTGCTTAGTTTTTGCTCTAATATTCTGAAAACTAGAGTGGAAAATGTGACTTCTAGGGTATCAAGAAAGGATTATCCTAAAAAAAAATTGAAAGAGAGACGCAGAGAATAGAAGAGCAAAAAAAGATGAGGTGTGCATAATAGAGTAGTAAGAGCATGTACATATAAATGTACACGGATAAAAAGAAGAAGAAGAAGACGAAACATGTGTAAGTGACAAGGATGGATGGATAAATTCCGTGGGACAGGAAATCATATTATATTTTATTCTGAAAAATCTTAAAATATTGAAAATCTGAAAAATCTTGAAATCTGAAATTCTGAATAAAAACGGAAAACTGAAAACCGGATATTCTTTCAAAAAGACTTGAAAATGAAAATTCGGAAAATCGGAAAGTGTAATTTTCGAATTTCCGAGTTTCTGAATTCCTAAAAACCTGAAAACCAAGAAACCAAAAACCCTAAAATCTCAAAAAATCCCAAAAAAAAACAATTAAATTTATTCTTTTTGAGCACAACCAATTTCATTTTTTGACCGTAATTTCAACACAAAAATTACTCGTTTTCAGGGCAAAATATCAATAAAAAATCACAAAAAATGTTTCGTCTCGAATTCAGGGACTAGGTTCGTCACAAATGAAAAATGTGACTAACATTTTTTTCTGGAAAAAAAGCACCGGAAGACCCGTAAATCAAAAGGGAGAGGTTTGGCGGGGAATTCGAAAATTCAAAAATGTCTTTTCATGTGAAGACTCAGATGGTCACTCCTCGAGAAGGCTCGCGAGCACTGCGTGCATTTGAATGGGCGGTCTCCTGAAAATGGAAAAGTTCGAAAAATTCATTTTCTGTTTGGTTTAGAGAAAAATTAATTTAATTTTTGAATTCAGCGCGTTAAGAGCTTTAAAATAAGTATAAAAATGACTAGTTTTGATCAACTTTCAAATTTTGGACCGCTATGCGCCTTTAAAGTCGAAATTTCGAATTTCACCAATTATAGTCATGATTATGCTCATTTTGAAGCTCTTAACATGGCAAATTCAGAAGTACATGTTTTATCGCTAGTTTTCAAGTTTCCTCCAGGTTACGGTAGATTTTCAAAATTTTTCAGAAAAAAAATCCAAAAATTATTTTTTTCGAAAAATTGTTAAAGGAAAACCTATGATTTTTATACTCGATTTGAAGCTCTAATCCTGCTCAATTCAAATATTTTTCCAAAATTTCCAAATTCTCACCTGTATGCTTCCTATAGTGCCTTGTAAGTTCGTCAGATCTCGCGAACCGCCAATCACATCCAGGCCAACTGCATTCGTACGGTTTTTCGCCTGGAAATTAAATCGTAAGGTTGAAATTTGATATTACGTGCAAATTGTAGTAAATTCCATATCTTATAGCCAAAAAGTATAAAAAATGGAAAAAATTCCAAAAAAAAATTTTTTTGGAATTTTTTTTCAAAACCTTCTAACTTTCATTATTTTCAACCAATTTTCAATATTTTAACACGATTTCATCAGAAATGTTTTCTTCTTTTTAAAAATATATAATTTGATGTGTTGAAATTAAGTTATGTGCCTTTAAATTGCTCTTTTTCATAAGGAACCTCGCAAAATTTTTTTAAAAAATCATTTTTTTTTCAAATTCCTCTAACTTTGATCATTTTCAACCGATTCTTATAATTTTAAAAACCATTTCATTAGAAATTTTCCCTTCTTTCTAAAAATATAAGACTCTCACCTGTATGTGTTCGATAATGCGCCTTTAAATGACTGCTTTTGGTGTACACCTTGCCGCACTGTGGATGTGTGCACTGATGGAGTCTCTTCGAAGCCGGCTCATCATTATAGCTCGAACTTGGGCTTGCCTCACAATTCGACGAGTCATCTTGACACGAATCCACGTGTAGATTCAAATTCGACTGACTTCTTCGCATTTCCAGCTCTCCTTGCGCTTCTGACATCAGTTTTTCCATTTCGCTCATTTGCTTCTTCACCAGATCTATCTGCGTTAAGATGTTCGCCGGATCAACCATTCCTGTGAAATCTGGCATTACAGCACGACTGGAATCCGCTGTTAACTGCTCGATCACTTTTTGAAAATCCAATGGATCATGATTCTGATAAACGAAGGAGTTTACGGAGGAAGAGAGGGAGCTGGGAAGGTCCGATGTTGATGAGATGCTCTCCGTGTTGATTGTTAGCGGATCTGAAGATTATTATTATTATTACTATTATTATTTCAAAGAGAATTTCGAATTTGGGGGTGAAAAACGCTTCAAAGTAAGTATAAAAGATTCCATAAAACCGGGTTAAAGACAAAGTGTGTGAGAATATGGAGATTCTGAAATCTACCGTAACTTAGACCAGTTTGAATAATGTAAAACTTGAGCTTGATTTTCAAATCCTTCAGCCTGAGAGCTTCAAATTGAACCCCCACGCGCCTAGGCTCCGCACACGTTGAGTTTCAAGGTTAGAGACGCAGTGTGTCTCGTTTCTCTGCGCTCTAGCTTCCTTAAAACTACCGTAACTTGCTTAGTTTTTTGCTCAACTTTGTTTAAAAAATTGAGCAATCAATTTGGCCTGTTAAGAGCTTTAAAATAAGCCTAAACACGAATAGTATTGCTCAATTTTTAATTTTGACTAGTGCGTTGCGGTCGCGCTGCGGATGGGAGGTGAACATTCAAAATTGAGCAAGACTATTCATGTTTAGGCGCGTTTTGATGTTCTAAATGCTTTGAATTCGAGAATGCAACTTTCAAAAATATTGGCTTAAAACTAAGCGAGATACGGTAGTTTTAACGCTAAAGGTTAGAGTGCAGAGAAGCGAGACACACTACGTCTCTAGCCGTTTTTCATAGAACCTAGTCGTGTTTGGGCTCATTTTGAAGCTCTGGACATGATAAAACAGAAAATTGTTATTTCATGGCTCATTTGGGAATTGGGTAAAGATTACGATAGACTTAAAAGGCTCCCTATCCCGTCTGAGCGGATGACCTGATTTTTGGCTCATTTTTCCCACATTTTTAAAAGACTGACCTCTCAAATCAAATCCTCGCGCAGATTTTTTAACCAACGGACTAGTTGGACTATCCATATCGGCATCCTCCACAACAATACTCTCATGATCATCGTTCGCCCCTTGATGTCCAGAATCTCCAGAACTTGAAGAAGCAATATCAAAGTTAGAAGTGGAATGGATTAATCGTATTGGCACATTTCTGATCACATTTAGGCCGTCGAGGTTTCTAGAGCCTATTGGCTCTTCTTTGAGAATATCAGAAATGAAATGGCCACCGGCACCTCTTCGATGATCTAGACCCGATCGGCGAACAGGGGCAAACGCGCCTGAAACGAAAATAAGAAATCTGAGTTTGTTAGAGCGAGAGCTTCAAAACGAGCCTAAACACGACTAGTTTAGCTGCACTTTGAATTTTGACCCATGCGCTGCGGTCGCGTCGCGGTTTGGTAGATCAAAGTTTAAAATTGACCTAGCCTAGTTGTGTTTAAACTTATTTTAAAGCTCTTCACACGAAAAAATGAAAAATTCAAATTTCGAGAAGATTGCTCGAAAACTAAGCGAGGTACGGTAGTTTCTAACTTTGCTAATTTTTTGACCAAGATTTTGAAACTACAGTATCTTGGCTCATTTTCCAGCTAAACATATAATTCTTACATTTTTTTAACTTGTCATGTAACGAGCTTCAAAATAAGCCCAAACTCTGCTAGATTTGCTCAAGCGTGAAATTTTGACTTACCAACCGCGACGCAACCGCAACGCATGGGTCAAAATTCAAAATTGAGCTAGACTAGCCATGTTTGGGCTCATTTTAAAGCTCTTAGCGCGCCAAATTCGAATTTTTAGTTTATATGTATCTTGAAATTCGGTTTTTTTTGTCCCGAAAAACTCACTTTTCATGTTCAAATCCTGAAAGGCGGCACCAAGAGCTGTGGTAGGTGTGTTGAATCCGGAAAGTGACATGAGTGATTCTGGAATTTTTGCTAAAATTAAATATTTATTTGTTTCTGTGGCTGATAAGAGATTACTGTACTTCTTAAGGCGTTTTCGTTTTTTCTGATAATATGAGTTGCTTGGCAAACAATTTTGAAATTTGTTCTCCAAACTACAGTAATCTTTAGTTCTCAACGATCGTGTCGGTGGTCGTCTCTCCCCTTAAAACGTCTTCTGGTTAATCGATTCGCTTTTTTTGTCTTGTTCAAAGACGGGAAAAAAGGAATGTGGTAACGAAGAGTGCAACATAGAGATTTTGGAATAAACGTTTTTCTGAAAAAATCAGAATAAAAATCCCAAATCTGCAGATAACACAATCAAATTTGAATTTAACTCGTTTAGAGCTTCAAAATGAGCCTAAACACGACTAGTTTAGCTGCAATTCAAATTTCGACCAACCAAACCGCGACGCGGCCGTAGCGAATACGTCAAAATTCAAAATTAAGCTAACATAGTCATGATTATACTTATTTTGAAGCTCTCGGCGCCACAGACACAACAATCAAAGTTTCAGACAAATATTTTCAGTTTTTCCCCGGTTACGTTAGCTCTCACGTTTATGCTCTTCCATGAATTCGTTTCGAATCTGTTCTAATCGATCGTTCATCGATGACGTTGATGGTTGGAATAGGCTCTGTGTCGAGTCATAAGTGGGATTACGATAGGGCGTAAATGCTGAGAACTCGGCGGCATGTCGATCGAAAAGTGACGATGAACTTGAGGTTGATGTTGTTCCACTATCTTGGGCGAATCTCTGAAATGACGGAAACCAGAGTTTTGAAACATGAAAAGCTCAATTTGGCGCGTTGAGAGCTTCAAAATGAACCTAAACATGGCTAGGTTTGCTCACTTTTGAATTTTGGCCAGTGCGTTGCGGTCGCGTCGCGGTTGGTAGATCAAAATTCAAAGTTAAGCTAGACAAGTCATGTTTAGGCTCATTTGAAAGCTCTTGATGTGTCAAACTTAGTTATCTAACTTTCAAAGCCCTATTTTCAAAATTACCCGGGTTACGGTAGTTTCAATAATCCATCATTACAGTAATCCCCTATCTGACCCCTATTTCATAACTTTTTTCGTTCCCTTATCTTTTCATTTTTGGGTGTGGTTTTAGTTACCCGTCCTTTCTTAATGTTTCGCGAAGAAAAAAGAGAGAAAAGAGATAGAGAGACGCAGGGAATACAGAGAACATTGGGCGTTGTCCCCAAATGAGAGAGTGATTGATAAGAGGGAGTGGGTTAGAGAAAAGACCGGATCGTTTCTGTGGTCGCCCCCCTTAAAACGTCTTCTGATTAATCGGTTCGCTTTTTTTGTCTTGTTCAAAGACGGGAAAAAAGGAATGTGGTAATGAAAAGTGCAACATAGAGATTTTGGAAAAAACTTTTTTCTGAAAAATTCGGAATAGAAATCCCAAATCTGCAGATAACACAATCAAATTTGAATTTAACTCGTTTAGAGCTTTAAAATGAGCCCAAACACGACTAGTTTAGGTGCACTTTGAATGTTGGTCTAGCAAACCGCGACGCGACCGCAACGCATCGGTCGAAATTCAAGATTGTGCTTGACTAGGCGTGTTTGGGCTCATTTTAAAGCTCTCAACGTAAGAAATTTGAAAAAATTGATTTCAACCTATTTGGTTCGAGATGAACAAAGTTATCGCACTTTCAAGCTTTTGGAAATTTTCAGCACTAAACTTTAACGTGTTGTATCTCTGTTAGTTTTTCACTTGAAATGAGTTAAAGTAAAATTTTGGATTTTTTGTTTTTACGAGCTTCAAAATGAACCTAAACAAGTCTAGAAATGACCCGAAACCATTCGTCTAGTTCATGAATTACTTGAAATGCAAAAATTTTAATTTCTTGAAAATTAGAAACTACCGTATCTCGCTTAGTTTTCATGCTAACTTTTTCAAATGTTTATTACCGAGCTTGTTAAATAATGAGCTTTAAAATGAACCCAAACACGACTAGTCTAGCTCAATTTTGAATAATTTTCTACCAAACCGCGACGCGACCGCAACGGATGGGTCGAAACTCAAAATCAAGCTAGAGTAGTCGTGTTTATGCTCATTTTGAAGCTCTAAACGTGTCAAGTTCAAATTTAAAAGTTGCAAAACTCAGAAAATTGTCTAGTTTGTGAATTACTTGAGTTATATTTCAAATCCTTGAAAAATTCAACATTTAGAAACTTCCTTTCTTGCTTATTTTTGATGGAAACTTGTTGAACTTTATATTTTCAAGTTTCTGAAGTTGAGAGCTTTAAAATGAGCCTAAACACGACTAGTTCAGCTGCTTTTTGAATTTTGCCCTACCAACCGCGACGCGACCGCAACGCATGGGTCAAAATTCAAAGTTTACCAAAACTAGTCGTGTTTGAGCTCATTTTGAAGCTCTCAACGCGCCTGATTCAAACTTCAAAGTCTCCAAACTCAAAAACCCACCATTTTCCGTCTAGACGAGTTTGCCTTCAACCTCTCATAGGCGTTTGAAGTGTTGGAAAGCTCTCGAATCGTTTCATAAACTTGAGATCCAAACTGATTAAAACTTCTTGTGGCTTCATGTATCCTCTGATTAGCATCATCATTTTCAGACGATGAAACTGATGAGGAGGCGGCTGAAAATCAGTACCTTTGGCTGGAATTTTCTGGAAATCTTCTAGAACACTCTGCTATCGGATATGACAAATTTGATCAAATCTAGTCATGTTTATACTCATTTTGAAGCTCTTCACAATCAAAATTCAATTATTTTAAGACAATTCTACTATCTGATATGATAAGAGACATACCTGCCACTGCTTCTGGTAACAACATACCTGATTGAATGAAAGAAGGTGATAAATAGACGTGTGAGTCTGCTCTCGCCGATGGGTCAATTGACAGAAGCGGTTTGTTTGGTATGTGAACGAGGCGTGGCTCTCGTAACGATGACGACGTGGCAAAAAGGGGCGGAGCCATGCCAGATGATGTCATCGTTGAGGACGATGACGTGGCATTGAATTGAAGGGTGGAGGAAGAGGATGTGGAGGCTGATGGCCCAAACATCTGAAAAAATTGGGATTCTTCAAAGATTTTTGAGGAAAAATAGGAGAAAATGAGAATTTTTCGAAAATTTTGAAAACTTAAAACCTTTATAACTTTTTTCATCTTAGCAAAAGCTCATTGAAATTACGAAATCTGAATTCAGCTTTTAAAGAGCTTCAAAATAAGCTTAAACACGACTAGTTTAGCTGCACTTTTGATTTTGACCTATGCGTTGCGGTCGCGTCGCGGTTTGGTGGATCAAAACTCAAAGTGCAGCTAAACTAGTCGTGTTTAAACTCATTTTGAAGTCCTTGACGTGCTAAATTCAAAAAATTATGTTTTTCAAAATTTGCTTGATAGTTAGCCGAGTTACGGTAGCTTAAAGATTTTCAGAAGTTTTTTGGAACTTTCATAACTTTCTTCATTTTTGTCCAATCTTACTGAATTTGCAATATTTGAATTTTGCTTAAGAAGAGCTTCAAAATAAGTTTAAAACGACTAGTTTAGCTGCACTTTGAATTTTTACCTACCGAACCGCGACGCGACCGCAACGCTGCATTCAAATTTAAAGTCGACCAAACCTAGGCTTGTTTATACTCATTTTGAAGCTATTGATAAGCTGACTTCAAGAAATTTGTTTTCAAAAAGTTTGCTGAATAGTGAGCCGAGTTACGGTAGTTTGAAAATTTTCAAAACCTCAAAATTCTCAAAATTTAAAGGCGCATGACCCAGACTAACAATAAATCGAGGGGGGGGGTTCAAATTAGGGTTACAAATGGGAAGAAAATTGCGAAAAACGTCGAATTCTAGGTGAAATGACATTTTAAGACCTAGATTAAAAGATTTTCTAGAAAAATTATTGGGCGTGGTTCACCCCCTAAAAAAATTCTGTTCATGGAAACTAGCAAGACAGAAAAAAAAATAAAAAATTCAGATGATAAAACACAAGGAGAGAGAGGGAAAAACTTGATAAGCGAAGAAAAATGACAAGTGTAGGAGAGAAGCGAGGCAAATAGTCCCTCTTTAAACGCCCCTTTGGAAAAAAGCGCATATCTCGAAAACTAGAAAAGTTAGCTGAACATTGTCAACTACAACATTGCTTAGCTTAAAATTTCACACAGCTTTGTATTTTCAATTTTTCGATAGCTACAGTACTATTTGAGATATGCACCTTTAAATATGGCGCGCGCTTACAGTCTCCAAGGAAAAGGGGAGAGAAGGCGCGCCATCTTTAAAGGCGCATATCTCAAAAACTAGCAAAGCTAGCAAAAACTTGTCAACAACAAAATTGCTCCGCTTAAAATTTCGCATATTTTTGTAGTTTGCTATTTTTTAATAGCTTTAATGGTTCTTGAGATATGCTCCAAACTACAAAATTGTGCGAAATTTTAAGGTGAAAGAGAATCTAGAGTGTGAGAGACGCAGAGAAAACAGAAGAGAACCACTGATTGTCAGCTGAGAACAGGGAAATGAGGAGAAGGGAATCAATTAAAAGAAAATAAGAACAAGAAGAACCGATTTTGGGGGGGTGGGGGAGCGTTGAAAAGGAAAAAGGAGAAGATATCATCACATGATGACACATTGGTGATTGGTTGGCTAGCAAAAAATCGATATATCTCATTTTGAGTGATATTTAGAAAAAAGTTGTAAACTACAAAAATGAAGCACGGGTTTTGTTTAGTATACAGTAAAAATTTTATGCTGAGCAATCAACGTTTGAATGCTTTTGTAGGTCGTTGTAGTCTCTAACTATCACATCAAATAAGAAGACACCCTTCTTTTTCTTGTCTAGAGAATTTTCTAGTTCTTCTTAACAGCGAAAAAAGGTTTCTACGCTTATCTTTTCCTTTTTTTTACAACTTCTCATGACCTTTTCTTTTTCTTTGTTAAGAAAATTTTTTGAAAAAAAAAGAATTTTTGGGAAAAAATTGATGAACCGAATCGAAATTAGATCCCATTTGGGCGTTCCAATAGAACGAGAGAGAGAGAAATGCAGAGAAAAAAAACGCGAAAATTTCAACTATTGGAAAATTTTTCGGTTTTCTGGAAAAAAAAATTTTTCGAACAATTTTTTTTTTCGAAAACTAGAAACTTCCGTATCTAGCTAAGTGTATGAGCAGATTTTTTTTTGAAAGCTACATTTTGGAATCCATCGTTTTCTAAGCTTCAAAATGAGCCCCCACATGCCTAGGCTCCGCTTACTTTAGTGTCAGAGACGCCGTGTGTCTCGTTTCTCTGCACTCTAGCCTTTCAAACTACCGTAACTTGCTTAGTTTTTGCTCAAAGTCTATAAAAATTAAAGCATTCAATTTGCCCAATTAGGAGCTTCAAAATGAGTATAAACATGACTAGGCTCCGCCCACGTTCAGTTTTTGAGTTTAAAGGCGCATGAGGGGGTCAACATTTAAAATTGAGCAAATGTAGCCGTGTTTGGGCTCATTTTGAAGCTGAAAACAAAATCAATTCAATGAAAATAATAGAAATCTTTGAAAACCTAAATTTTCAGTGGGGGTTTCAAAAATTTGAAAAACAAACATCAAAATGTCTATCTGTGTGTCTGTGTGTCCATATGAAAAGTCAAAGTACTAAAAATGATAAAACTTATCATATGACTTCCACTAACATGTGATTGTGTGAAAAATATGAAAAATTGAAGAAAAACTAAAAATAGAAAAATTTTGATATTTTTGAAATTTTTGTGATAAAAAAAACCTGAAAAATTCAATTTTTTGGAAAAATAACATTTTCAGGCTGAATTTGGCTGAAAATATCAAAAAAAATCAGTGTTTTAGCATTTGAAAAAAGCTGAAATTGGCTGGAAAAGTTTGGGGGAAAAATGAGAAGTTTCGACAATTTCGAAAATTTTTGATTCCAAAATTTTCTGGAAAAATTCAAACTTTTCGAATTCTCAAAATCATTTCTAGACTATTTTTTCAAGCTAAACTCGAAAATCAATGTTTCGAAAGTCTAAAATTAGCGAGAATGGCTCAAATTTCGAATTTCGAAATTCTCTACCCCCCTAGAAGCGTAGAAAAACAGTCAGACAAAACGGGTGAAAAAAAAGAGAGAAAAGAGAGTAAAAACACATATACAGGGAAAAAAGAAGAAGAAGAAAAAGAAGAAGAAGAACAGGGTGTGTCTTCCTCCTCCCGTGGGGAAAAGTGGGCGGAGCCTAGATAGACCATACAAATAGAAAATACACACACACACACACAGAACACAAGAAATCGGGGAAAGAAGAAGAAGAAGAAATGGACGGGAACAAGAGAAAAAAAATTGAAAGAAGAAGGAGAAGATCTAATGATGATGATGATGATGATGCGGTTTTATTCGTTTTCCTCTTCTGGAGAGAAGACGTCGGCGGTGTGGGGAGGAATCAAGAAGATGAAGAAAAATGACTGCGGTTTTGAGATAAGATGGGTGTGGTTGGGAAGGAGAGAGAGTGAGAGACGCGGACACATTTAGAATATACTAAACAGAAATAGAGCTTCATTTTTCGAATTGACAGTTTTTTAGTAGCTACTGTAGTTTTTGAGATATGCTCCTTCAAAAAACGGTATGCCCTCTTTTCCTAGGCGCTGACCCACCCGCTGTTTGAAAGCGCATATCTCGAAAACTACAGTAGCTAACAAAAAGTTGTCAACAGAGAATTTATGTAAAATTTAATTTTACATACTTTTGTAATTTATTTCTTTGTTCTAGCATTGATGGTCTTTGAGATATGTGACTTTAAAGATAGCACATCCCATTGTCCCTATGAGCGCGCGGAAACTTTAAAGGCGCATATCTCAAAAACTACCGTAGCTATCAAAAGTTTGTTAATTGAAAATTGTGCAAAACTTCATTTTACACATTTTTGTAATTAACATCTTTTTTCTAATTTTCACGATTTTGGAGATATGCGCCTTTCAAGATAGGATACCTTTTCCCCAGCACCCGTTGTGGCTATGAGCTACCGAAAAGTTTTCAACTGAAAACTTGTGCGAAATTCGATTTCACACATTCTCATCCAGCATTTGTTTTCTCCACACCCAGAATTTCAGCTGAAAAATAATCAAAAATATTCGAAAATTCCAGAAAATCAAAATTTTCTCAATTTTTCAGTGGATCATTTTTTTCAGTTGATTTTGCCAATGTTTTTTGTAAATTATCCAATTTTTGAATGTGAATTTTTTGAAATTTTCACATTAAGAGCTTCAAAACGAGCCCAAACACGACTAGTTTGTCTGAACTTTGAATTTTGACCCCCTCATGCGCCTTTAAACCCGAATACTGAAAGTGGGCGGAGCCTAGTCATGTTTATATTCACTTTGAAGCTACTAACACGACAAATCGAATGCATTTATTTTCAGAAAAACAGAGCTGAAATAAACAAAGTTACGGTAGATTTTAAAAGGCTAGAGTGCAGAGAAGCGAGACACACTGCGTCTCTGACCACATTTGGTGGGGTGTATGTTTATACTCATTTTGAAGCTCTGAACGCGGGAAATTTGAATTTCTCAAAATATAAAGCATCTAAAATCACTAAATCGAGACATTGATCGGTTTAAATAGGTGGACACACAAAAATTTTTATAGTCTCTCTTCCTCTCTCTCTGCTTCTCTCTTTTTATCTTTTCTCGAACATTTTAATGACTGTTAAGCAGCCCAGATGGACAGGGGGAAATAAAAAAAATTGGTGATAAAAAAAGGGAAATTCTTTAGATTAAGAAAATAATTTTTTCTGAATTTTTTGGACACAAAAAAGGGTGTGACCCGATTTCGAGTGCCAGGTGGCGGTAGTTGGGTGGGGTTTCTTGGAAAATGTGCTTGTTTCGTAGTTTCTAGGCCATAAAAAACGGTTTAAAAAAAATCAAATTTTGCATGTTCGGAGCTTCAAAATGAGTATAAGCAAGTCAGCGAAAAACAGTAATAAAAAATTTTGAAAAACTACCGTAACCCTGTCAGTTGTTTTTGAAATCGGATAAATATTGAATTTTTGGATTCACTAAATTAAAAGCTTCAAAATGAGCCTAAACACG